CACAACGTCAGTTTTTAAGCCCTCACATCTTTCAAGGTAAGGATGAAGCACAACTCAGCTATTCCAACCAATTGTATTATGTGGACACCAGTACTAAAATCCTTACAGTGAGTAACAGTTTGAATTTGGAAATCCCAGACAAGGTGTTTGCACAGCACAGACACAGCCAGCATAAATCCCAACAAGTTTTATGTTTCTTCTGTTTTCCAAATTGCAATGGATCCTTGGTAGGTTCAATCATTCAGAAAGCCCATGCCAGCTCCTTGTAAGACAAGGCCAATCCTGCCCAATTTGCTTTCTTAGGTCACCACATATAAACCCCCAGCGACAACGCTGCACGCACGAGCAAGGCTCAGACCTACCGCAGTCAGCCGATCAGCTTCCAGACCAGTCCAGCCCCAGCTGACAGGAATCCTTTCATGTACAGCAAAGTAGGTCTGAACGATGGTTTTTCTCCAGGTTTGACCTGGAGACCCGTATGGGCACAGGAGACTCTATACTGCACGAGGGGAACGTTTTGTACTACGCCCTGGGCGGACAAGTTTATCATCTGACTGCCTTGCTGACTGGTGCATGTGCCTCCTGTCCTTCACTGCTCTGTAAAAAATCCACAACAGGCTTTCTTCCAATACTGCAGTCTTTAGGAGGTAGCAACTCCTGCTTTCTTAAGCTGCTTATTGACTCCTAAGACTTGATTTTGGGGGGGGGGGGGGGGGGGAGCTTTCTGCAAGCCTGACTGGCCAGTTTCAGGGCAAGAGTCAGACCTGGGAGTAAGCCAAGAAAGACAAACACAGCAAAACAGAAGTACAAGGCATTTCTATATGCAGTACCACCAGATATACAGAAAAACAGGAGAATTATGCTAAGACAGATGAGATACTGTGGCAAGACAGATTCCTAGAAACCCAGACCTTGGGCACCACTAATCGAAAAATACACCACTAATTTGGTTGTGTTCAATATATTCTGTCTTAGCTGTACCTTCCAGTGATTACCGGCATTATGCCACAGAAGTTCTACACAAAGGAGACTTCTGGTCATATTAAATTTTAACCTGGACATCTTAACGTTTGAAGATATAATGACTTCTAAAGAAAGAGCAGAACCATTACGAAGCAACCCATATCCCCATGGAACCTGCTAGGGTACCTTGTGTCGTGCCTGGTATTTAACAGTGCTGAGCGATTACTGGTACTCGTTGGAGTCAGCATGAATTCTCAAATGCCTGTGCCTGAAAAGGAGTATCATTCTAACGCCTGTGCTGTTGCCAAATTTAAAAGCCAGATGGGCAGACTGCTGACGGCAGAAACTTTTTGCTGGAAGCAAGCAATCCGGACCATAATCTTCCGGCAAAAGCAGCTCCGTACACTGTACTTCTGATGCTTGTTTTGTGGCATGACTGACTGAGACAACAGTAAAAACCATCATCACAGGATCTTAAAATGACACTTGGTGTTAGAAGTCAGCCTGTGGATGCGTGAGAGCAACTGTTAAGGATGGACAGAGAGCATCTGTCAACCCACAGAACGAACTGATGAAGCTGCTTGGCAGAAAGCTGTCTGTTAAGAGGAGACTGGGAAGGCCAGATGTCACATATGAAACACCACACTGAAGCTGCATATAGTACATCAAGTTTTTGTACTGCTAATTATTTTGAAGCACTATAGAGGCAAATTAATTCATTTCCTATATATTATCACACCCAGGGTCCTAGGCTACACCTCACGTCACTTCTACGCAATCGTCCAAAAAAGAACTGGGTTGAGATCCAAGAGGCCGTTACTCAGTGCTGGTAATCAAACACACAGGAATTAATTTCTATTTAATCTCATTTAACCTATAGACACCTTAGAATGAATTCCCAGATTAAACTCTCCACGTATGACCGATAGCAGAACCAAGATGGTTTCAATGCTACCTCTTTGTGGGCCAGATTTAGAAGTGGAACCGTCTGTCACATGTTCCTTCCACTGAGAACAATACAGCAAATTGCAATTAAGAAGCTGCATCCTGTGGCCAAACTTAGGGTCCAATTGTACAGCTACCAACATCCAAAAAATTCCTGCCGCAACTGAATCACTCATCAAGTATTCTGCCAATGTTTTGTTCCAGGACACACCTACAGTTTTTCAGTCGTTACTTCCTGTAAGCTATATGCTAAGCATACGCATCAACTCCAACTGCTTCCGTGGTTTTGTCAAAATTTCTTCACGTTTGATATTAGGGCACTTCCCATTTTACCTCTCTCCCCCGGAACATCACAACCGCCTTTTGGAAGCTTCTGTTGGATGTGGACTCCCTGGTCATTGCCTAAGCAGCCTGCAAGTCATTCTCTCAAGTTCTGTTTTAGCAGAGCACCTGCAGTTACTAAATTCTGTATTTTTCAAGTCTTTGTATTACTGCTTTAGTCTGCTGCTACAGTATCTGCACTGTAACAAAACAGACACTCTCCTTACAGTGTTCCTTAAAGGTATGGGATGTGCTGACAACTAGAATATGGGGGCTTCCTTGCAACTTCCGTGATGTTCAATAAATTGCACATAACCAATGCACCTGAGCTAGTGACACCGTAAAAACTGCTGTGGCAGCAGACTCATTCACATACTGTATACAAGGTCCAGGGATGCTAGGTCCAATCCCAGAGGCACTAGAGCTGTACTAAGTGTTGTTCGTGGGCTAATTATGCTTGCATTTGAGAAGACTAATTAGTCTGGGCAGAGCTCTGTGCTAAGGTCGGTATCTTTGTACAGTCATGTACTTCGTGGATGTATTTCTTTCCTCCCTCCACCTTCCCACACACATTTGCCCGAATTAGACACCATACACTGATGGTTTTACCTGGAGCCACAATTTCCATATGGCTGAGAATTCTGCTCCAAGACGCAACACTACTCTAGAAAGAAACAGAAGCAACGTAACAATTATACACATCTCATGGTTTGAAAAAGTCCAAAACAGGATGTCTGACAAGAATCATTAGGAGTTCCTTTTCAAGCTTAGCATTAAAACCAGAAATTATGGCAGAAACTATTTAGAGCCAGTATGTAGTTTTCCAAAAGCATTCGTTAGCTCACACCCATGATGCCACGTATTATCCCATCTGCCACAAACGCTAACAATCTTTGATGAAAGCTAGCTCAGGTTTGTCAGAGTATGCACAGGATGGCTATTCTGGGTGAAACCGTCCAAAATCTTAGCACTAACTAAAAAAGTGATGTAAAAGGCCAGTAAACATAGGAAAAAAAGCTATGCATGGAACAGCAATGAAGTATTTATCCCCCCATGCACACATCCTTAAATATCAGTTCAGAATGTACTTATCTTGCCAAAGCAGTTATTAGATACAAGGTAATGCATATTCTATGTTTTTTATCCCGTGTTTGAAATCTGATTTCCCAAACGCCTGGAACTTTCATATAGTTTTTTTCTGGCCTGGTTTACACAGCTGTACATACACTTCACTAAGGCCCACCACCTTTTTAAAGGCTGCTCTAACATTTTATTGCCTTTAAATAGGAAGTAAATGGTCCAGTACAGCAAAGAGTCAACTCTATTTTTCAGTTATTTTACATATGTATTCTTGAATAATCTATAAATTTAGTCAAATGAGTAATACTGATTTGAATTTAAACACATTTAATGGCATTTCACCTTAGAGAGGACTGGAGATGACCACCACAGTGGGGAAGTGTTCAGTATTGTTCCTCCTAAACTGCCAGGCTTTATGGTCCTATTAATCGTATTTAATGCATCATGAATTACTCACGGTTATTTCTAATTAATCAGTAACTATTACTATTGTTTCCTCTAATCATTGCATTTAACAGGGCAAACATGCCTAGGATTTGCCTGGTAGCTACCCCAAGAAGGTTGCAATTGCTGAACCAACTCAATATTTGTTTTAACCTCTGCACTCTAGAAATTAAAAAGATAATTTTTGAGTTGAGCTCCAGAAATAACTTTATAATTAAACCATCACATCACCTAAATGAATACAATTTTATCCATCCCACTGAAGTAATCTGTACCACTGAAAGTTTCGTCACCGCCTGTTTGCAATGACAATGTTGAAAATTCCTCAAATTGTCACTGCAAACAAAGTTGCTGCTCAGCAGCAGTTAGCTGAGCACCTGGTACCAGCGTTACCTGACAGCCAGAGGGGACTTCTCTCAATTTGCATCTTCGGTAAGAATAATTTCCTCCTCAGTGGAAGAAATTTCCTTCGACCAGTCCAACCCAATTAGTTAAAAATACTGGAACTTCAAAAAAAGAAACAGAAATCCCCCCAGTCTAACCTTTTATAATCTTTTTACAGCCTTAAAGATCTGCTTCTTACAAAACATTACAGGGTGCAATGTTTAGGAAAAAGTTGTAATTTGCAAATAATACTACCTTTGCTAAAGCCATTTTTTGATTTAAAACAGGTTTTTTCCCCTCCCACATATTTAAAGCAGGTCCTCTTGCAAAACAAAAAAGTGGAATGCTAACTGAAACAAATCAGAATAAAAGAATTAGCTGTTGCATAAAAAGCGTGAATGCAGATTTTCTCTAAAACCTAAAATCTGAAAAACATATGTCATCTATAGAACTACTTGAACGCAGAGACAGCGCATATTTGGTTGACAAAATGCAGTGCTTAATTTAACATAAAGGCTGATTTGCAGTTGCAAGATTCTTAATTACTAATCAAACGGAATTACCTGCTTTTCTAGAAAGCAATGCAAGGGAACAAATACAAGGCACGATAAAAACCAAGGCAGAACATATGTCACTAGCTGATGTCGACCCACCGAGGCGCAGTTTAAAGTCTCAACATACTAACAACTCACCCTAAACCTTCAACACAGAGAAAGCAAGCATTTTTGGTTTTCGAAGGTGCTTAAATGCACAAGCCACATGTGCCTCAGCACATCTGTACTCCACAAGAGCTGGGAACAGAACCACGCGGACTGTATGTCTGACGTTTGGTTTTGGTTCAAATAACAGGCGTTATACCTGCATCAGTTCACAACAGGTTTATTTTGTGTGAAAAGCTTTGCCATTAATGAAAAATTTCAGTAGAAAACAGTGCCTTCTACTCTCAATCTAGATTACTCAAAAGTAGAAGCTTGTATTAGTGAAAACTTCAGTAGAAACAAACCTGTAAGAAACATGTTCTTGGCACATGAAGTAAAAGCTTTAAACACATTAAGTTTGAACAGAGTATTTACCATGCAACCATGCTGGCAGAAGAGCCAGTCTGTAAGGGCTGGTATTTGTCCATGGAAGACACTTAAACCTGCTTACATAGCATTAACTGTATATAAATATGTTGTCACCATAACTGACAGTCTTTTATCAGGCCAACCATCTAGTTTAGCAGTTCTAAGTAGGTAATAGGCACTTTGCCTTTCTGATTTCCCCTTTCGCCCATCAGCCAGTCTGAATCCATGCCAGGGATACTGTACACTGTTATCACCTAAAAAAAAAACCAAACCAGAAACACATTGTTACCACCTTCCTTCCATGGAAAAAAATTAGTCTACCTTCATGTGATTTCCAAGGCCTTAGAACAGAGATTAACCAAGTTAAATAGAGCATTTAATACAAGCATCCATGGAATACAATCTAGTGCTCATTACAATTATTTCACTGGTCCATGGAAAAGGAGTAGCTATAGTAGCATATTTTTAAGTCTTTCTTCTGACAAAACTCTATTCATTACTGTTTCTTTTCTACATTTTATCTGTAAGTCCTGTATATCACCACCAACTTCTAAAAGAAAGTTCACTGGATCTTCAAGCGTGTGATAGAAATGCAGACGGTGTTGATGTGCTACATCTCAACAGAAAATCTTAGGCCACAGCTTCTAACCTGTCTAGATGAATATTTCTATTTGACTTTCTTCTTAAGAAACACATTTATTAAAAAAACTCCAAAAAGTCTGAAAACTTTTTTGTGGATGCTGTTCTTCAGGGCTAAGCTACAGCCACATTGCCAGGTAGAACTCTGTTCCAGCACCCTGCTTCATTGCGTGTCTCCTCCCGCTTTCTACGGACTCTCCAGCTTAAGCGTACAACTGAACTGGAACAGGAATAAGCACAACCACCACCGCCAAAACAAGAAGTGGTTGTATTTTCCTATTCTTCCCAAACGGCAATATTTAATGTTTGAAAGACTAGTGGTAAAGGTGTGGTAAAAAAGACAGCAGGGCTGCATCCTTACTGTCTTAGCAAATGTTCTTGCAAGCTGAGTTCATGTAATAATTATTAACTCTCACAACAGCATATTAGGTTATGTAGGTACAGGAAAATGCTCTAAGAGTACTACTGAAGTTTAATTTAAAAAATGAAGTACACAGATTTTTTGATATAACACAACTGGCTTGTCACAAGCATTCTGATTTTACTTTTAAATGATCAAGATACACAGAAAACTTACCTCATCTGCAAGTAGTGATAATTCACTGCTGTTTGCAGCATCGTAATCATAGAGAACTCTCGCTTTCCTGCTGCCACTTGATGACTTCAGTTCACTGATGCCTGAAGAAACTACTGAACTGCTTATGGAAGGCAACGAAGCAGAGGCCGAGGCCAAGGCTGAGGGAGTAGAAACACTCTGCACAGGAGTTGAGGAAGACTGATTATTGTTAGAGAGGAAAGTAGATGGAAAGCTGTGGGAGGAAACAGAACGAAAAGGCTTCTGAGTGAACTTGTTCTACATGGGGAGTTACACATGCCTCCATGCCCAAGCTAACATTCTTGCTTTCATTAGCTACAGAATAAACACCGCATGACAGCAGTAATAGAATAGCACAGGCATTTGTATAAACCCAAAGAAAGATACTTGTTCCTGACCTGTAGTACAAATCAAACTAATATACTTCAGAAGAAATACTGCCACCTTAACAAAAACTTGGTAATTGCCTCAAACACACAAACGAAGGTGAAAACAGGAAAGCACTGTTGGTCAGACTTAATTCAGACTGTACTTTAATAACCATTTCTGTTGACAGCTCTGCCAGTAAGAGTAGCCTCCTCCTCCTTATACTCATTCCTCAACTATGTGGCTACATGGAAGATTGTGCTGGTGAACCAGATCAAGGAAATAGAATGCAGGTTAAAAACACAGCCTCCCTCTGAAAAAACAACACAACAATTTTGGTAATCTAAATCAGTTCATTGATTCAGCTAACTTCATGCTGCAAAAAAAAAAAAAATTATTACACTACAGAACAACTCATATCCACTAAAGCCCCTCTTTTCTAGGCTACTGCTTGTTCTGTGCCAACTCTAATGCTTGCCAGACACTTCCATGAAGTCAATTTAATTCATTAACCTGCCTGGAAGAGGAGAAAAAAGATGAAAAACAAGTATATGATCTTCTACTAAGTTAATGAGCTGAACCACAAAAAAAACTGTGCTGAGAGTCAGAGCAGATGCAAGGGAAAGGACAGAGTAATGTGGCTGAAAAGTAGAAGGAGCAGAGAGGAGAGCAAAGAAGCAAGAGATTGAAGGGCAGTGGGACTGGGGGACTGGGACAGCATGGATGCAACGACTAGCTGGGAGACTGTTTCATGGCACTCTGCCCTACCTCCTGTGATGCAGGTCCATGGCAGACTAAACTTACTTAGAAGTGGATATAGTCATTCTTTGACCCTTTGCTGCCGCCTTCCTTTGTTCCACTCATCTGATTCTACCTTAAAAGCAGGTCAGTGAAGGTTTTGAAAAGTGGCAGAGCTGATGCAGTGAAAAAGGGCCAGCGAGTAGGAGTTAGGATGAGTCAGGATGATGTGGAACTGTAGCTGCATTTCCTTCCATTCTTTTGGACAGTCTACACATCAACCAGTCAGTCAATTCCCACACATAACTTCCATCATCAGTCCTTCTACACTGATGCTTTTTCATTAACATCTGAGATGTGGACATATTACACTCTCTCCCCCTCCCCCTTACTTTTTTTTGTCCGACTTTTTGACATAATGAAGATCTATTCATATCTGTGTGTATGAACCTGTCAGAAAACACAGTCTCATCTCATCCCTTCCTACCTGTGCTCCCCAGGTAAGTTCTTGAAGATGCAGTTCAGTAGCAACTTTAACCAAAACCCCAAGATCAGTATATTCCCACAGCTGTCTCTGCAGCATTACTGCTGCTCATAGAATAAGAGGAGCTGATTTAGGGAGCTGACACAGGTAAAAACTAAATCTATCAATATAGCAATTAATTATTGGATCGTGTGGCCATGATGACAGGTGGAATTCAGGCAACTCAAACCTGTATCAGCTGCAGGAGCACTGCACCACAGTTTACAGGTTCACACTTCACCTGGTGAATTTACACTGCCACCTGACAGGGTGGAACCACTCCTCTACCCCATTATTGCACAGATGTTCATCCCCTGCCATTTGAGTCAGATCTAGCCATCTGTTGCTTTTGAATTGATTCAAAGATCTGATCAAACAAAAATCATCAAAGACTGCTAGCCTTCCCTCAGAACAGCTCATTAAACCCGTTCACGCTGCAGTCACGCAGCAGGTAAAGGTAAACAGCAGGCATGTATTGAAGGACAGAACTAGCCCCTGGACAGACTGAACTGCATCTAAAAGACTGGGGAGACTTCCAGGAGACTCCTGAGCTTAGTTAGCAGCTTACTGCTGTCGAAGGAGGAAGTTCCTCTTGCCCCTCTGGCTTCCCTTCACCTCATTTCATCACAAAGAGCTGGTCCAACTCACAAGGAAGAGACTGCAACTCCAGCAAAACCGATCTGGTTTCGTTTGCCAGAGGAGTTTTTCAAACCGGTTCACCACCTTCCCAGAGCAAAGCAAATGAGCAGAACAAAGGGAGAAAAGGCTAGACCCCACATTTTTGTGGGGATAACGCAGCTGTGCCTCGCAATGTGTTTATTACTCGATTTGCTGGCATTCAGAGGGACAATTTTAAATGACAACCTGCTGTTTCTCAAGCTCCCTAAATTACTGTTCCCTATACTGCTAAACCTGTCCTCTGTTAGCACAGTAATAACCTGTAAACCATCCTGCTCGGTTCAGAGGGTCGCTGGTTTGTTCAGCTAGTGGAAAAGAAAGCCAAGAGCTTTGTAACCACAATCCGTAAAGCATCACGTCTCAGCCTCTGTGCAAAGCCTAAGAGCTTTGTAACCACTCTGTCAATCCGTAAAGCGTCACGTCTCAGCCTCTGTGCAAAGCCATACGCAGGCATGTGACTGGAAAGCTTCAGCTATACAGCGGTTGTCTCGGGTTTTTTTTGAACACTTGAGTATCAGGAGTTTCAGAGCTTGTAGAGTAGGGGACTAGTAATGGGTCATGTGAAAAAATAATGATGTCATTGCTTAGGCTTGGCTGTCAGGGAAGCTCAGAGCAAAAGCAGCTAACAGCAAGAAAATAAACAGCCAGAGTACCAGGATATGGGAAATAGATTCATTAAGGAAAAAAAAGAGAAAGATTGCTTTTAACCTGGGAGATTTGATTCTTTAAGCAGCCCCACACGAGGGCGAGGCAGTAGAGGGATACACAGCTGATGCTCTGAAGAGAAACAACCCTAAAACCATTTACCCCCACCTTCACTGCAGCTGACCCCTGAGAGTACATCAGGAAAATCAGCACCCAGCTTTAGAATGTCAAGAGTCTTCATATGAACTGGGTTAGGGTTTATGCCCTACATTCTGACCCAGCTAAAACAGATAGTATGGATCTACTCCGAGAACCAGGTTTCTGTTTCAGGCAATAAACGATCCCACGTAGAGGTAGAACACCTTTGGTTCACCAACAATCTCAAAACAAAAGTAAGTCCCTCACAGCTCTTGCCTTTCATATGAGAATATGGCACAACGTCATTCTGAAATATGCAAAAAGAATATGTATAACTAAATATCTCATTAACCAACACAGCACTGGCCAACACAACCAAAATCCAGCTCAGCTAAGCTACTCACTTATTACTGTATCTGCCTACACCTAACACAGGAAGAACACTATACATTACTCCAGCCACCCATTTATTTAATGCAAGCGCTATGCACCATCTGCCTACAAACTGAGGGACCCTTCCAAAGGAAGAGCTGCAACTTGAGACCTTGTCCCAGTGCTCTCTGTTAGAGTTCAGTGGGACTTCCTCGCACAAGGAAGCAAAGACGCCCAAGATTTAATACCCTTACTGTTTTAGGCAGAGAAACTTCATTTGGCTGTTTGAGGCACTTAGGATTTTGCAAAGCTCCCACACTTCTGCTCTTCAGGCAGTCACACTCATTTTATCAGAAATACTAGTCAGATCAGAGCCACATAAAGATACATCCTCCTGTTCTCCTAAAGGCAGTATTTTCTTCAAATACACTTTTTTTATACCTGGTGGCAGTCCACATACATTTTAAACAAAACCAGCTGTTCTGGGACATGCTGAACATCCTAAAGCAAGAGATTTTATGAAGAAATATGTATTTCCTTAGGTTAAGGGCATTATGCTTAAAGCTTTCTGTTTGGTAAATATACAAGGACAAGAATACAGATTCTAAAAACATCCTCTCAAAATAATTGTGTAAATACACTTAATTCCTAATATAAGAGGTGCTTCTAATTAATCCCATAAATGTTTGTTTTCAGGCTTTCAATTCTCCAACTTGCATTTATGCACTACAAATTTTGTAGCTGACCACTTCTTCCAATAGAATATAACTTTTAAGATGTAGCTTTTTTTTACATCATGGTTAAATACTTTATAAAAAAAATTAAATCTTTAAACTGCCCATTCAAACAAACTGATGAAAGGAAATCAAATGCCACAGGAAGTTGCAAGTCAGGAAAAGGACAAGACTCAAGAATATTTTTGGGTTTACTTCCTCATCATGAAAAACAAACAAAGCTATGTTATAGAGACAGCCATTTAGAAGAGACAATACAGTAAACCTGTGAGTACAGACAATCCTTCAATGCATACACTCATCTAAGTAACATGGTATAGTATTACCCTAAGAAAGGCTGATTTATAAAGAAAAATTCAAACAGGGAAACTCTGTGAAAAGTAAACATGCAGATTTCTTTACATCATCATCCATCACAAAAAAAAACAAACCAAGAGGATTACAAGTACAAATTAAAGTCAGTTTCTTCTCTTAAAATGCTAAACCCACAAAACAAGAAAACTAGATAAACATGCTCATTCCACTCTTGAGTGCATTTGATTACTGATTATAGTTATGAAGTACATTTCTCTCCAGATAGAGTATCCATGCTGGCAACTCACTTAACAATGGAGAATGCAGTTCCATTTAAAATCAGGTAGTGCCCTGTAGCAAGCTAAGAGGTAACCTGAATTTACAGGCAGTACAAAAACTTTTCCCACACTGCACAGTGGTTTTGTAGCATGAAGCACATAAGACAATGGAATGTTTACAAGAATCCCTAGAAATTCTTTTCTGCGCCACTAAATGAGGTTACCAGGGGCTCATTCCAGGATTATAAAAGGTACAAAACTTCATCTGCGCGCTCACCACTGTTACACCGGTGTAAGTTTTCCTACTGCTCATAAGCACTTAGGTAAAAAAAAAAAAAAGATTCTAACATTTTTCGCGTTACTACCTTCCCAGCTGTTTCTGGAGATCCAACATATATTGGTAACATTGTGCATAATAGGTCATCTGAGCTTCAACAAAATCGTTCAGACAGCGAAGATGATGTGCCTACAATACAGCAAAGAATTCAAATTTTTAGTCTGTAAAAATACTATGCTGCGCTTAGAAAGACTGGTCTCCTGATCAGGCACTTACACAAATGTTGATATTTATGCCACATAGGCACGGGGCCTGGATTTACTAGGTACGTGCCACAAAAAATAACCTATCTGAGCACAAGACAGGTATTGACTAGCACCACACCATTTACTGATACTGTTTTCACAACAGAAGAAGTATTTTAGCACACTTTTGTAGTTTGAGCATTCAGTTTAAAGGATAAAAATGAAAGGTCCTGCATTCTCAACATTAGCAGTAGGCTACAGTTAAATTTAGTGAATACAAAACTAGAATTCAAAGAACAAAAAAATACAGTTTGATGTTTTAACTAAGTGAAACCCCGTAGCCTGAAGCTCCCAAGTAGCTTTCTGTAGTTACTTCTACTAAGTGTCCCAGTTGTGACTTTACCTCCCTCCACCCCTTCAGGGTACTCACGTGCGTGCTGCTGATTCCTTCCAGCAGAAGTCTGGTAATCTCTGCCTGACGGTCAAACTCACTCTGGGTAATTCGCACTTCCTGTTCCGACTAAGAGTAAGGATGCACATCAGTTATTTGTACAACTCACTGTTACGCCTTCCGACTCCAACAGTTCCGCTTTACTCATACAAATGCATCAACCACAAGCTTGGGTGTTTGAAAGGTGCCTGTTCTTCGCATACCTTTACTAGGCAAAAAGGGTAATTGCTTTTCGGGTTCAGAAATGTTGAGGGCCTGAACATAGAGCTAACAGCATTATCAGACACCTACCAGAGAGGCAGTGCATGCAAAGGGAGGTATCTATCTGCCAGCAGTACTACCCCACCTCTCCCCGTGACAAACCAAGCGTTTGTTGGCGTAACGGTGTCTGTGCCAGGGGTTCGGCCAGCACAGCCACGGACCACGCAGTGGGTTTTTTCCCCATACTTCAAGTTAACAGGGCTCTGACCAAATACTTTAGGGTAAACCTCACACTATTTTTTCAGGTAACTGCATGGCAGTCAGCCATACATAAATCTTTGATGGCACGTTTTAACAGGATGTTTCATGAATTGATGTCTCACACTGGTCACCAAGCTACTACAGCTATTTCTGAAGCTTGTAATTGGGGCATTTTTAAAAGATAAATCCAAACTACAGCAAACGTCTTAATTTCAATTAGAGCAAAATTTGTGTTAAAATTACTGGATTTAAATTTTATATGTAAATAATTCAATTTATATTTATTCCTTGTTACATACCATCATCAGCCATTTTTTACATAAGTTAACATCGTAGTAGTTTTGAAGGACTTCCATTTAGCACAAGCTGAAATCACTTTAGAGTATTTTTTGGGGGAAAAAAGGACACTACTCAAAACACACAAATACATAAAAATATCTAAGATTTCCCGTTCCAAGACAGAATGTCTTCAGACTGGAATTTGGACTAGCTTGCCTCAATACTTATATGCATTTAGTACCTTGCTTTTAAAAATAAACACAAAGGCAAAAATCTGCATTGAGTCAAAGATGCAGCAGTTACTGTTCTCAACAGAGTAAGGAAATGTATTTTCAGGAAACTTAATGAGATACCGATAAAACAATGGTTTCAAAAGGATGTTGTATGTTTGCAAACATTCTGTTCTGGCATTCTACTCATGCTAATTAATATGACAATTCACATGGAAAGTTCTTAATCTCAGAAATGAGCACAGAATGATGCAGTTACCCCAGAAATGTTTTTCTGAAGTCACTGCAGCTGGGAAGGCTTATACATTAATTAAACAGTGAGGAAGCAGCTATAGCATACTGTGTGTTTCTTAATAAAAGTGAGATAGCACTGTATGTATCAAGTTACAAACTAATTAGGCTTTCAAAGTTTGCTGAGGCAAGAATCTTTCCTTGAAATTTTCCTATTAAATCTGCATTAATATCAGTGAAATCCACCTGGCAGTCCCTGAGAGACATGTAAGAACAAACAGGAGGAAAAAAGCAAATCCAATAGCCAAGAGAGAAAGAAAAGCATTCCGTCCTGTATTAGCAACATCTCCATTTCCTTAAAAAACACCCGAACAGCAAAGTCAGAGGTAAGCCCTTCATCTGGAGATAAAGAGTCTAGTCTCTTGCTTCTCTGGTCAGCAGTTGCTAATGTGTTTCTTCCTGTCAGTTTAGGAAACACATGGTAATGGGAATATATAAGAAGGGGGAATATCCATCAGAATAATTCTATTTGTTTCAACACTATTTTAGCAAATCAACTACCTCCTGTAACAAGAGGCAAAGCAAGCGATGTGGTAACATGAATTAACCTAGCCAGTACAGATTGACTCTGAATACACAGGTTACAAAAGCACGATGTACTAGTTTTGTAGATATCTACATAAACCAAATTACACAATGACGTGTTTAATCTGTTTCGCCCATCCCAATTTTCAGTACTGCCAGGTGAACAGTAACAGGACAGCATATCTATTCTACACCTTGTGGTAAAGGTGGATAACGGCTGACTTCCAATCTGGGAAGCTTATGGCCTGATCGCCTTTGTTTCTGTGCAGAACAAAGAGCTCAAGACACAGGCCTAAACTTTCCAGTGGCCCCCAGTGCAGTCGTATTCTGCTTCTAGAATAATTAGAGGGTCTCATGGGGTATCTTCCATGAAGAACCCTCAAAATGGTACTTGCTCCCCAAGTTCAGAATATGAACCCAGCTTGCGTGCGAATTCAAGTTTCGCATAGTATATAACCTCCCAGAAATACCATGCAATCCTGTAGCTAAGGGATAACACAACCACAAGGAGCACAGAAACAAAATCACCTTCCTAATGTTGTTTTGCTAGACAGCGACCATGGAAATGTACACGCTACTCAATAAAGCTGGGCCTCCTCGTGTCCTTTGAAACCAAAGACAGGAGCTCCTCCCGATGCCTAAAACCTGTCTAACCTCAAAGAGCTGAGCACACGGTTCCTTCCACTGACCACAGCAGACACCTCAGAAGACTCCTAACAAAATCCGTATGTTCATCAAGTGTGTAACGTTGCTGCCTACCCCATGTGTTTTACAGTCCAGTATTCAATAACTCCCAATTCCTTATTTCAGAAGGGAAGTTAAACAAAGTTGGCCATTTACACCATGCAGATCTTCTGTTCTAACTTAAAAAAAATAATAATCCTGTGGTTGATCCAGAGATTACTGGACAGTCTGAGATCCTTACTGGGATGCTTCTTAAACTGAAAACATCCATGAACCTCTTTGGCTTTCAAACACAGAAGGACAGATCGCCTGAAGAAACCTGGATGGATGACCGATCCTTTGGCAGAACATGCATTGTAGTTTCTTCTCAATGGCCTCTACGTTTTATATGCTCAATAAAAAAAGGGAACTTTGAATTACATAATTTATTACAAGGTTTAAAGCCTTTCATCTCCTTTATGCTATGGTTAGCTGCCATGTACTCTTTCTTTTTCTCTCTAAGACACAATGTGTTAGATTTCACTGTCCCTAAAGTTGCTTGTCATTGTCTCTCAAAAATAAACAGTTTTATTCATAATTGTCTTAGAGCTTCAAGATTAGTTTTCACTCCAGCAGTACTGTTCCCCTGCCATCTTTTTGCCAAGACAGTCCCAAGTACTCCAGACAGGTTTGCTGCTTCCAAATTACTTCCCTTACATAGTAAAATTATTCTCAAACTCTGGGATCTAAGTTGACCTAACCCTCCTTTGACTCTTCAATCTCTAAACTTCTTCCCCCTAAACTCTCACCTTCTACTCCACACATACACCCCCATTTACACCGTTAACTCACAGAAAGCTGGAACAGAAGACTACCTCATTTATTCTCCCACAACCCCCAAGACTTCATTCAAAGCCCCATATTCCAGCTTCTAACAGCAACTCCCTACACCTTCCACAGCTGCCTATCTGGTTCCCCTTTAAACACCATACTCCAAAGCCCCTACCCTCCAGTTCCCCTTACTTTCTATTGCTACTCTTAATTTTTGTTCTCCCTCCTCCACAGAAACCTCCTACGAAATTTCCTCTCCACTGTCAGCACAGCTTCGCACAGCCTGTTACCAGTACTGCTTTGTCAGAGCCAGCGCGCCCGAGGACAGCCCTTCTCATGGCACCAGGGCAGCTGTCGCGTAACACTCCATTCGCTCCAGAGTTCATCCTGAGCAAGAGAAGGCATGGCAAGAAAAGGCTGCAGCCCCAGCCCCAAGGCTAATGCCACATTTAGGAACCAGCCCTCAGCCCAGGTGCAGTTTGCAGATGCGCTTACCTCCTACCTTCAGCTGCACAAGATAAACACAGCACATTGACACTGGGGAGAAAGGCAGGAAACACAAAACAACCCCACCCCTCTAAAACAGTTTTCTCCAAGTTTCTTGCGTGCACTCCAGCATTTTAGTTACTGTTCCATGTTCTGAGTAAAAGCTGAAGATCAGTGTTTTTCAGGACAGTTCAGATTATTAGACCTTTCTGAAAGTTTTCAGACCAGCTCGTTCCTCAGAGGTCACTTTGAAGAGGATGCCACACCAGTAAGTTTTGAGAGACAAGTGCTGCAGTTCTTTCTATTACATCTTGTCACGTGAGAATCATACAGGACTAACTGTCTTACTATAAAACCAGCCCCCCCAGTGTTTTCACCACTGAAGTTTGAAAAGCTCTAGAGGGACCGGTGTATTCTGATGCGATGTGTCAGGCTGCCCACATCAGACAGAAATCAGCAACACGCAACATCCTTTGTTACATTAGACCGGCACAAGTTATGGTTTCAGAATTCTGCAGTTTCCAAATCATTTACTTACTTTTGTCACTTCCTCAGCCCATATCTAGTCAGCATTATGCAGTGGGAAGGGGGGGAAATAAAATCATACAAGCTTAGACATTGGTGGTACTTTAATACAGGATGCAACCATACTTTGGCTTTTAACTCCTCTCCTGTCCTCAGAACTTGGCAGGGATTTGAGGAGGGCTACAAGTCAGTTACGCAAAGCCCTTCATATACAATGAAAGTACGAGTGTGGATAGAATTAAATCTGTGAAATAACTTAGATATAGAATGCATTCACTCTTCAGTAACTTGTGCATTACAGGAATCTATTTAAAATGAGCTATTACAACATAAGACATAACTACTTAGAAAATGACATGAATCAGACAAGCTAGATGACCTCATGGAGGAATTTAGGTTACCATAATATGTTAAAATACTGGAAAACTATGGAAAGCTGTTCTCATTTTAACAGCATGTTAAGTAAAGTCAGAAACAGACAAGTGAATGATTTCTCTTGCTAATTCCACTACCAGTTTCCCATTTCACAAGCATTATTATTGAGGCCTAATTTTTTATAAAATGCTACAAAAGTATGCCAAACTGAGTATTAAAGTAGTAGTAAAGTAGTACAGCAAAATCAGACAACTGCAAGGAATTTACTCGAGAAGTTAATTACTTCATTGTGTTCCAATTCCCTCTTGCAACGCAGTTCTCATTTAAACTTCATCCTCTGCAGTTGTAAGATAACGTAAGCAGGACTGCGGTGGAAGAAATGGGCATAAAACTTGCAGAAGCAAGTTGTAACAACCAAGTTTATTCGCTCCGTTACCAGATCACACGTGAGAAATGTGGAACACAGATGAGACCCACTATGCTGTGCAGATCCAAGACCCAAACCAGGCCAGGCTGAACAGCACAGTCTATGTTGCACACAATTAATTAACCCCTCCTTTTTACACTTTCACAATTATGGTGCTAAAAAAAAGCTGCATTAATGAGTCCTTGCAACAAGTTTAGGATATACTGTACTTTAACTTAAAGTCATTAATTTATGTGACATTATTCAGTTTTGGTTATTTCTACAATGTCATGTGAAGGGAATCACTTCTACATATTCCTGGCTATTTCTCAGAATTCACTTCTACTCATATTTAAAAATTAAGAAAACTAAATAACTCCTTTCCCTCCAATAATGAAATTAATTTCAGAAGTGATAAAAAAATATCAACTCCTTTGCATCCTAAATTTACATCCATAAACTCTTAGAATTTGGAGTATAATACTGTGTATTTCAGATTACCTGAAGTATTCTGGTGAAAACATCTAATGCTGTATTGACACAAGAGTATTTAGCACACTATCCCAATCCAGTTTGGAATGGAAAACATCTTAAACAAGGCCAAGTGAGCTGGATAGCAAGAGGAAACATTGATAGGAAAATGAATGAACACAGAAGGCCAACAAACCTTTAGCCATTTTACATGCAGCAAGTTGAGCACGTAAGAGACATTTACCATAATGTTATTGTCTTCAGGCTGAGAGGTGTTTAGTTGCTTAAGTGCAGAGATAAAAGACAAAAGCAAGTTACAACACATTGAATACAGCAGGTGAACAGATTGTTGGCACAAAGCACTGCAAGGTTAAGCTAAGCATGACTGAACTGAATACAGATAAATAAAACCGGTTAGGTTTCTATTTTAAATATTGATCTAAGCTACTTCATTTTTACAGTAAGCATGAAAATGTAATTTCATCAAATATTAAATATTTTTATAATAGGGAAAATTAAATGTAGATATAATTTATTACTTTATCCTGTCAAAGAAAGTAGCAAAACACAAAAGTTTGCATCATCACTGAATACACTTTGGCAAACGGTGCTGAACTGATAGGTTAGCAATCTTCCTTCATAAATAAGTGAGCCAGCAGAAGATGAATCATTTGCATCACACCTCTATCCAGGTTAGTCCTCATTGCTATATTGCAGAGGATAAAGTAGAGATGCAACTTTTTCACTTCTCTGGGTATTCTACAATCCAATAATTCTTAAACATGCACACTGCCATTTAAAATGTAATTAAAACTGAAGTATTGGCAAGGTAGTGCAGTAAGAGGCCTAGTTTCATGCTCTACCAGCATTAAATTATTCATGGATAAAACAGTGAATTACTTGCTATATAAATATATAAGACTAATCAAGTAGTAGCAGCAGCAACTGGTAATAATTCTGTCCAAGCACCAAGGTCTGGGTGATTACACTGTTGATGGAACTAAGAGCAGAGTGTAGAGTCTTTCTTTCAGTACTAAGCTCAAGGGGAAGAAGTTCCTTATGGTCTTCCTAATGCATTAGATAGTAAGGTATGTACCTGCTACCACGTCACAAGGAAGTTAATAAACCACTTTTTTTTCTTTGAAACTTAACTGTGAACAAATCCAAGCAAGGGAATAGGTTACTACCCATTGTTTCCAAATTCCACTACGAGCTGACTAAAAATCCTGTTCTGCTCTCCACTGTTAGCCTTACAAATTAATAAAGCTAAACAAGTTTTTTTTCCACAAAATTTACATAATAAGGGGCAATGCACTAATAGATGTAAGTAGTAAAGACAATTTAAATACACAGGGACCGTGCACATGGCATGGAGGACCAGGATACAGAAGCAGAATGGTCAGGTAGAGGTTATCTTGGTTTTTTTCAGAAGGATCACCATCCCAAAGCTGTGAGGTGCTTCACCTATAAAGCTCAGTCTCAGAGATGATGCTTCTAAGATTTTTGGACAGCAATCCATTCAGAAAAGCCAATAAAACCTGACAGTCCTGCTTCCGCCTTTTCATCACACACACAGCTCACGGGTAGTTAAATTGTCTGTATTCCTTCAACACCTGTGTGAAAGACCCCTACTGCATTAATCCTAGCCTTGCAGGAAAAGTCACTTGACTGTCCATCATTAACTGCTGCACTTTTAGGAATGCAGTCAAAAGATAGCCCTGAAAATACTGTAAGCATACGCTGCTGAAAAAGCTTACATTCTGTTCCTCCATTTAGAGGCATTTTAAGAGTTTATTACAAACTAAAATTTTTTTGCTTTTTAATTTTAATCTCCTTGAACAAGCATTTCTTTAGGTAATAAGAACGTTTAAGAAATGTGAGTTTGAGAGTCTCACCTGTTTTGTTGGTGTGAAGTAGTAAAACAATATTAAAAAAAAAAAGAGTAAACTACAAATTTTTTATAGAGAGAAGTTAGATCTAGATAAGTTCATCAGTTGGAAGTAATTATGCATATGCTTCAACATTTGCAAAGATTCAGATGCCAAAACTTGACCTCTGAATGATTTGTATTTCCAACCATGTTGGCAGATTGGAGCAAGCCATTTTGGGCAATATAGGCTCATCTAGTATAGAACAAGGGGAGAACATTTACTTGGTTCAGCAAGTTCAACTTGGTGGAATATCTAAAGACAGAACACCTTGAACAGCAGTTCACTTTCGTTTCCCTGTGTTCCACTGAGGCATTTCTCACAAAGTGTCTAGAAAATCGCAAGGGTAAGAAGCTAGGACTGGAAACATAACCACGCAGTTGAGTTTATAAATATGTATCAGGAAGTTCGAATGTTATGAACAAACTGAAGAAAGTTTTACTTACTGCAGCTCGAGCTTCTGCAACTTTTGCCTTCTTCAATCTGGTTTTTGCTGCATCCAAATCTAGTCTTTTATTTTGCAATAGTTTACGTTCTTTCTGAAAGCGAGTTCAGTTAGTTAGTGAGAACAGGGACAGATACTCAAAAGCAAAAGCCTATCTACTTGGATTTTTTTTTTCCTAGAAGTACCACGTACATAAAGGTTCTTCAGTTGAACACAGAGGCATAATTAGATCATAATTATTCTCACACATCTTGTATACACATGGTGTATACTTTTACTAGAACAATAGTTACAGAAAGCAAGTTTTCAGAATTATTTTGACTCTACCTGATCAAAGGAACAGATAATACACCAAAGGCACAAATTCTACATCAGTCTGAGGAAAGCAATACTGCAGTTATCTAATAATTCTCTTTGAAGACAGAGTTATAACTGTTGTGAAATGCTGAAGAACGAACAATTCAACTTACAGTAATAGTTTTGTAGTCTCCTTCAATAAAGTTTCTTAAGGGAGTAAGAAAGTTTATAGCAGAAGTTTGAATTAGTTCTCTGTCTGCTGTCCCAATCCGCTTTTGTGTTTCACCACATTTAATGAGTGCATTACCTGCAACGGAAAACACGTTAGTTTCACAGGGATTCGGGCAGGTGGTTAACGACGCAAGTTTCTACAGGCAGGAAAGTTTAGGTCAGCAGTTTCAAAGATTATCTAATGCCATCACAATGCTTTTCAAAAGAAATCATAATGAGTTAAAAAAAAACCAACCAAGCAAACATCAAATCACCCCACACAAAAAAAATCACCCTAAACAAGCAAACCCACACACCAAACTTTTCTTATTAACAACAATCCTGTCTCAAGAAATATTTTGACGAGAATGAATCCAGCATTGTAGAAACAGCACTGACTATGGCAACTCCATTGTGAACACCTATTTTAGACCCGGGTATCATACCTACTGATTTTAATCCAACAACCTCCAGCCCTTATAACACAGTTTTGTTTAAGTCAGGAATAGTTGGTAGCAAGGAAAAAGCTCATTTAACTACTACAAAAACAACGTGCTGTCCCCTGTCCCCACCAACTCCAACTTCTACATGCACATTTGGTACATTAACTGAACAATACTTTAAAATCTGGTTGTGAGTTAGGTATTGAAACTGAAGTTAGTCTTTCAAGAATGCAGTTATATTTCAACAGACTGACACGGCTGAGTTAGAAAAGGCATTACGTTTCCAGAGAACTAAAATACCTTGTGACACCACCTGAAAGCCAACCGTGTATCTATCTGGTAGTTTGTTACCTGCCTGAATTCTAAAAATTTTGCAAGTTAAGGGACAGTGTGACTGTAAGCACAGCTCCATCTGATGTTAAAAAGCAAGACTTGAGGCTGGTGATCAGAAGGAAGGCCACAGGTAACAATAAAACCATGTGGAAGTAAGAGGAACAAAGCCTGTCGTTATCGATTTTGTATCCATAAGGCTTCTGCCAAACATTTACTTTTTTTTAAGTGTACTTTCCCTGTTTTGAAAAGGAACCCCATTATTTCCAGATATAAAAAGAACTCATTCTTCCCCAAACAAGCTTTCCCTCCCACTGATACTTTTGAAGAGAGTAACTAAAAGAGCCAACTATCAGACTTTGATTGCAGACATTATTATCTATACATACACCTATGCATTTCAGTTGGTTCAGTTACATCAACAGCTAAACCTGTTATTATCAGCAGTTTTCGGAGTCGGAGAGAACACTAGAATTAGACTTCATAATTAACACCAGTGTAAAAATATTAGATGTAACATCTCCAACCCTCCTGTCGTAGGTATATGAATTTGCTGGAGAAGGAAGAAAATTTAGTTTATATTCCACATTCTCATCTTCAGCAAAATATTATATGTTAAGAACAGCAGGATACTGTAAAGTTAGAGAGACTTCTTACTGAGGGTGTTAATTTCAGGTAACATTTTCACTCCATCCCACAAACAAAATGCGTAAGTGTTCTCAGATGTGCAAATGTGTTGCTTTAACAAGGAAATTAAATACCAGAATTATTTGTTCTGGTAAAAAAATGTCCATCCACAAAGACTGTTATCATTCCAACTGCAGGTTCTATTTCTAGATTTGGGTAGAAACTTCATCACTGATCTCCCCTAATACAGCAACCCATCTCAAACCAATGCAAGAGTCATTCAACTGTTTTATCTAGAGGAAGACAAGAAATGTAATTTCACATTGCTAAGAAAAACTAGATCTGTGTATTTCTTCCACCTTATCCCAGCAACACAAGATGTTTTTTGCTTCTACTTACCATAGGCTGTTCCTGGGCCAAATTCATTCCCAGCATCAATCATATACTGGCCTAGTAACTCTGGATTATTCATGCGACTTGGTGCTTTGCGGTCCAGCTTCTCATAGACAAATTCTTCTATTCTGGCATCTAAAAAAAAAAAAATTGTTTATTTGAAATAATTATTGTCACTCAAAATACAAGTTAGAAACACAAACAAAAAAGTAATTTCAAAATCCAGACATTAAACTCAACATGAAGTGAACAATGTTAAGCTGAAGAAACCGTTCCTAGAAACGGACTGTACTCCATGTCTGTCATGCTACGTTCAAGTGTGTTAGAGCCATCTGTGAAAGTGAAAAATTGTACTTTTTCTCTCCCTCCTATCAGCATATTTAGACAGTTTTTCAAAACTTTGTCCAGAACTCTGAGGAGCATAATAGAACACTAATAATAAGGAGCATAATAAAACCAGTCCCCCTCCTCCAGGAAACAGCTGTGAAAACTGGCCACTAGAATCAGCAGTGTAAAAATACAGTTCATCAACTACTGTCAGTTCCCTATTAAGATACTCTGAAAGTTTGGTAGCCCCAGGAAATCTATCCTCTCTTTCCCACTCCCTCTGCTCCTCTGAAACACCAAACCACTAAAGATACCAGTAAGTGTTTTACTTTGTACTCACAACTTTCCTTTAGCTTGAGCAACAAAATTACCAAAAAAGAAGTTGTCTTGACTATATGACCATTAATAACTATGTATCATAATATTAAGCCACAGCATGCTGCTTAGGTGAAAGAGCCCCACAGACATGAACAGGGACACTTAATTACACTAGCAAGCTCCTCAGCTATAACACCGAATTTCTCTGACCAATTGTTTTTGACATCATTATTAGCTCACTTTATTTAGGCAGTCAATATGAACTGATGCCAGCCCGTGACAGTAGCGACAACCACCAAGCAGCTCTCCAATGAACAAACCTGCCACGCTGATGCAACAAAAAAAATACTGCTGTTAATTAGGCAAGTTTCATCAGCGCTGGATTAAATGACTACTCTCTCATGAAGGTCACACAAATTAACCTGACGCAGACAAACATGGGTACCGATGCACTCCCTGTCACTAACGGTGAACCAAAAGTGATCCAAATTCATTGCTGTTTCTTTACCCATGACATTTATTTTTGAATAAATGACACAAGAACTGAAAAGTAATTTAAATTATTGGACCATTATGTGGATCTGACCTAAAGGTATGGTTAAAAATGTGTGAAAAGGGTTTGTCCTTCTCCAGACAGGGTCGCTCCATTAACAGCCAAGAGCTCTCTGCAGCCTGCCACAGCCCCCCCAGGCAGGCTGCCAAACCGCTGAAGGTACATCCACAGACGAAGACCACTGCTTAACGCTGAGCACTTCCAGCCATCAGAAAATTGACTGCTCAGCATAACTGAGATACTACCATACATTACCCCTTTTACTCAATCTTCCTTACACAATTCTACCAGCCTAAAGTTAGCAAGTCAGTATCCAATTACAAGCTTCCGTAAAAGTCAATACATGCTCATTTAATTCAGTATTTGCAAGAAGTGACTATTGCCACTGGCCCAAACACAGAATTTAAGCTGGAATATTATGTAAATTCTGCAACCTTCCCACAGGATTAGTTGTTTTGGTTTTTATGTTTGTTTTTTAAATACTGTTTTTATGCAACTAAAGGATGCAACAGACTTCCAAAATAATACTTAAAAGATCAGGATTATAAAGAATTTACCTATTCGGCCTTAGAGAAATACTGTCAGTGTATGACTTACTTGTACTAATAAATCCTAATACAGTAGGTCGACACAAGGAGAATACTTAGGTTTGCAGTGCAGAGCTATTAACAATATTATAATTTTATCATTTGAGAGAACCTAAAGGAGATTTAGATTTGGGTTTTAATAATAGTAGCTTACCCAGTGGCTAGCAATCAGGTCTTGACTTGAAATCTAGACCTATACACTAGCAAATTCATATAGCTGCTGACTCCAGTTCAACTGCCACAAATGGCACACATAATCGTGGGATGACAGTCTGAAACTGATACCCTCAACATTACTATTCACAGCAGCAGTTTCAGAAACAAATAAAATTAACACACAAGACAGCTAAATTTCTTCTAATTTTGTATTTTCTGTTATTGTTACACTAAGAGACTCACCAGTCATGAAAACCTATTTGAAACTTTATTGTATTGCCTAAAGTATGGTGTGTAAAGTGCTGGAAAATTATAAAGACTCAGCATCTGGAGAAAAATCATTCTTTAGTAAGGGAATTGTTAAAGACTGGCATTTCAGTTGATCTTGCCTGCTTCAAGCTGAATTGCTTGTACTGCACTGTATTGTGCAGATAAAGTAATGAAATAGTAATGACATTTCTTGAACAGCTGCGTTTACTCCATAAACAACTTCAGAGATCTTACAGCTACTCAAGATTTCTAGAATTAAGAGTGGGAAATTCAATTAAACATGAAACGACTCAGAAAACAATCAACCTGAGACTTACCAGACTATGGAACCAATACTGTAGGGAGCTCTGTGTAAAGCTTTTCCCAATTAAAGGGTTAAAGAAGTACCAGTAGTTGGTACAGTCTCTCTGATCTGCTGCTTTTCAGAATGTCCTTTCCCCAACTTTATCCTTCAAATTTTAAAACTGCTATATTTAGTCATAACTTATCCAATACCTGTGGCAGTAAGCATTTACATTGGCAAATCTATTAATTCAAAAGCTGCAAACAACCTTGAAGGGCTCTTACTTGGATTTGGCTGCAATAATACTTCTGTTTGTTTCATTATTTTTTCTGTCCACGATTTAGTGCATTCTGCTTTGCTGAGGAGGTTTTCCAGGTGAGCATCCAGTTCAGTCTTCTCTGCTTGACCAAGCTTTTCTTCTGTGAACTATTAGTCAAACAGGTTAAAAATACTCAGTTCACAGAAATCATTTCCCAGGACAAGTTAAGACAGTAAATATTAACTCATAGTAGTTGCAGGTCATGTTTTCCATGACACAACCGTTACCCAGTCATCAACAAAAGTCTCAGGACAAATTTGAAAGTGTTAAGTTCAGCACAGTCTTACTATCAGGAGAAAAACAGGGGGGAGGGTGTTAGTCAGACCAAGACAAACGCAATTCAAAGATAACTTCCATCCTGTATAGTCTGTAATTAAGTTTGTCCCCTCTCCCACAGCAGAACCTTTAAACACAACAGATTGTCACTGTACCTACCTTTAACGTGTTAAAAAAGAAAATGTCCTGTCCACAGCAAACAGGACAAGAAGTAGTGAGTTTAAACTTCAGCACAAAGATTTAAATTAGATATTAGAGAAAGCTTTTAAAGACAAGAATCAAAAGCGACAATAGACTTCCCTGGGATGTTGTGGAACATATATCTTTGGGGGTGGATGGTGCTTTGCTTTTTAGGATAGGACAAATCAACATTTGATGTGCTGTTTAGCTATAACTGATCCCATTATGCCTTACAGAACCGGCAAGATGACCCCTGCTGTTCTCTTCCAAGCTGTGTTTTCCGGACAATGAAATACAATGTAATTCCATTTCACTAAATAAATCCAGCAGACCATTCATTTCACTTGATATTAAATTCATGCCAACTTTTATTAATCCAAAGGCAGCCTGTACTTCAATCACAGTTCTCTGGAAGAGGGGGAAGCCGCACATTTCACATCAGGGAACCAAGGGTTTTGCCTGCCTCTCTTGAAAGCAGTGTTTCCTCAAGACAACGATGATCTCATCACCTGACAGCCTGTTCAAAGTCAGGCGTTTTCAGAAGAACCTGCCTTATGATTAAATCCCTGGCAAGCTCACCAATTAAGAACACAGTGGTACCGGAAGCATTTTTGACTGCCAAACTTCATTCTTAACAAGCTCTCTAGTGGGATATTTAAACTAGCAGTAAGAAACAAGAATACAAGTAAATTGCACAGTCCAAGTTTGTTTTCATTTCCACCACAGGCAGAATAAAACCACCTCTGATAGCATGCACCTTTAAAGTCTAGATAAATGCTGTGGCGTTTGCAGTTCTACATAAAAGCAAATTGCCTTTGTCACAAAGTTCAGTTGCAGCGTAGGAAAGAATGGAATTTATGGATGTATTACTACTGCTGTTTAAAAGGCTTTCTAAAAGGAAGTCAGGTACTGTAAGCTGTTCTCAAAAACTTTGCACAGATTCATCATAATACAATATTAATGGTTTTGAAATTATTATATACTCTGTAATTAGTAAAAAGTTATTTGTATATAAAATCTGCTTTTCTATTAGTATTTCCATAGATCTCCTCAGCAGTGTGAAGATCATCACATTAGACTTCAAATATACACTTAAAAACTTAATTTTAGCAATACTGAGCAGCATGGTAAATAATAGTTTGACAGAGGTATGTCTTCCAGCATCAGTGTAATGTAACTATGCTGCCACTCCGATTTCCCATCTCAGTTACACTGAAACCTAAGTTTGAACTGGTTTTTCTGGTTTATATCCTTTTTCAGACATTAATCTGTGCCTTAAGGATAAGAACAAAATAAGGAAGGTGGTGCTGTGATCAAGAAGTTTTCTTCTGCTCAGAAAAACTGTTCCAAGATAAGCAGATACTAATGACCATCATCTTTGATTAGAGCTCTAGAAGTTTTGTTTTCCTTTTTATTAAAGCTTAAAACTCATCCTACTTAATTACTTAATGTAAGCACTTGCTGGAACAAATCGTGTCTGTAAGCCATCTAATCCATCCATATTAAATTCAAAACATATACAGAAGACGCCTGACTGCAACCAGCTCACACAGAAGGAAACTGTACTATTTTGTATACAGCTGAGTTATCACAGCCCAATCGACTTTTCAAGTCTACACTCCAAAGTTACTGGAAGGAAAAATTACATTAAGATAAACCTCTAACTTCAGGTCACGAACAATAGAAGTGTTTCTGCTACCAAAGAGTAAAAGCCCAGCTCATTCCTGAGTGCTGCAAAGCCAGCTTGTGAATTACAGGGACCGGAAAGAGGAAGGACTCACATTCCTTTTGCTACACTCTATGGCATTATTTATTTCACCTCAGATACCACTAACTATAACCATTTACTGCTTTGTTCCACAAATTGCAACTACGGTGAGACTGAGTGAGAATGACTCCTTCAAAGCATTTTCGGCCTGCCAGAAGGAAGGGTTGGCTTTGGATGAAGGTGGCCAGTAGGCTTGTTTTCTCTACAGATAACCGACTATGGCAGTCTGGACACAGTATCATCTCATCCACAGCAGATGGAACGTGAATATCAAGTGGTGTTGGGTAAAACAGCCCCAGTTCCTTTGTAACAGAAAAGTCTGATAAGCTTGTGAAACACTGGCAAGATGTTCACCATTTCGTGAAACACCTGAAGTGCAGCTGAAAAGGAAATTTTAAGTGGTTCTCCTTTATACCATTTTATGCTGCTGAATTGTTTCATAGAGTTTGGTGGTTTTTTCTGTTTCTAATATCCCAAAGGAAGTAGTGTCAGGTCACACCACATCATCCAGCAATGCCTGAACAGAAGAGTTTAACTCAATATACAGAACTGTCATTTTTACTGAAGGACACAAAACCTATCCCCGGCTGATATTAAAAAGTCTACAAAATTATTACCCTTTAATATTATCTGTTGGCCTAACACAGTAACTTAAAAAAAAAAAAAAGTGGAAGGAGGAGTAGCACATAGAACGTTGAGTTACTCTGATTGTAAGAACATGTTAGGGATTTACTCCACCCCCTCAATGGCCTCATTAAACTTCTCATTTTATGGGAAAGTGGCAGCTGGTACAGCAAAATTATTACTTCCACATTTCCACTGAATAGATTAAACAGATAACTAATGTAGCTATTCAGATGTAAACAGAACATACTGCAGTAAACCACATTTCACGCCATCTTTAAACTATGAGAGACTGAAAAAACCTATGTTAGATGTAATACAATAAACTGATTTAAATGTAAAAAGTCAAGATAAAAGAGATGAAATCACAAGGTCCCATCACAGGATCTTAAAATGAAGGGTGAACTGCCTCTCCTTTTTTTCCTTGTCTAGTAAAAAAGGGAAAGGGGTGGAGGCTGGAAAGGAAGAGATGGGCTGGGAAACACGTAAACCTGGGGAGGGAAGGAGGGGGAGAAACGGAAGCATGGAAAGACCTCCATCACAAAGAGAAGCCACAGTGCCTGCTTTAAATTAATTTAAATTTGAAAAGCAGTGTTTTCTGACGAGTTTGCATTTTCAGAGCTCTGCTGTGCCGCTGATCATTAGTCGTGCTTGAATATTGAGATTTAGGGCCGGTCAGGCCAGATAACTGTAATCACGTTTCAAACTTAACTGTGACCCAGAGAAGCTCATGAGAAACCAAACTGGATTACTGTGCACTGCCTGGATGTCCACCTCCCATCCAGACAGGAAATCTGTTCAGGTTTGATTACATAAAGAAAGGGGATTACGGTTCAAGACAACAGCCAAGGAACAAAAGCCAATTATAGGGCCCTTAGCATGAAGAAAGGGGAAGACCGGTTCAGAAACAATGGGCTATCAAACCACCTTAGAAACGATACTATAGCTCAAATAAACCCAAAAAGCCTAAGCAAACAAATACTTTCACGTGTCACGTCAGAACTCGAATTTTACCGAGCGGGCAGCAGGGTACGTTTTTAGCAGGCAGTAAAAACCCCAGCCTGTTTCAGGAGACACGCACCTTTGTCCTTTCCACGCATAAATTCCGACCGTACCTCCTTGCAGCTGACGCCTGCCCAACTCGTCGCCCCAGCCCGGCCGCCTGCTCCCCTTTGCCTGTCCTGACCTTGGGCTGCCTCAGCCTCCCCTCGCAGCCCCCCGAGGCCAGCTGCTCTGCAACCAGCCCGGACGGAACCCCAGGTGCTGCCAAGCCCAGGGCCGGCA